TGCCTGCGCGGCCCTGCCCCGAAGGGGGAGCGGGGTCTACCGCGCTCGGGTGTGCCCTCCTGCTGGTGTAGCTCTGCGGAGTTCAAAAACGTACTCTTCTTCGCCTGGACAAAAGGATTTATTCTGACGTGTGACGGTAGTCACCAGAAACCAGTTTTAGTGCTGAAATGGAAAAAAATCCTTTTTTCTTCCTTTCGACAACAAAAAAAGACTTATGAAACTTGGGAAGCTCTTCCCTACTGAGAGACGGTGTTATTTCTTACCAGAACGTTCGTGATGAATCAGCTACTACAAGCTTGGGATTTCAGTATACCTAAGAATCGGCTTGAAGCTCAAGCACTACCATGCTGTTACTGGCATTTAATTCTCCTGTTTGGGTTTTTTTTTTTTTTTTCATTCTGGGTCATTAGCTTGGTGATAGATGGCCAAAAATAAAAGGCACCCAACAAGTTAGGTTTTACTTAGTGACCTGCGCTAGCATTATACGCTTTCATTCATTTATTTTTGTTTGCTTTTATATGCTCTTCTACTTTAACAGTAAAAAAGTTAAGCCTTCTTACCCAGCAGGATGAAGGATGGTCCGTAGTGTGAATATCATTGTGTAAAACCTCAGCCATACCTTTTTAGCTTCTTGCATGTATCTCATTCCAGAACTGGCAAAACGTCACACTTCTATGTACTTGATTTTTTCATATATTAACCATGGTATTGCTTCAGAATAAAAAAGTGTGTATTTTAAACACTGTATATATAAAAAGTGTATGTATAACATGGATAGGTTCAAAACAGCTAAAACGCAAAATGATTTTAAAAGAGTGTGGACAGCTTCTGAAACATGATATACTAAGGAACTGGGATGGGAAACTCAGCATAACTTAAATTGCTTCATGTATGACAATCTATGGGATGGAATGGCCATGTGAATTAAGCTGGGTTTTTGCAATATAGATCTTATGTAGGGGTGTAGATGTGCTTGAGGGCTGCAGTGTATTTCATGATCCTGTAGTTTGTCACATTTCCTCAGTTTTGCTTTTTCTCTGTTTCTCTTTTAGATTGTAATTGTATTTATTTAATCTTCTTATACAGCGCTAAGAAAACAATTCCAAAGCCATTCAGACTATGGCCTTTGAAAGGATAACACAAAAGGACTGGTACAAAATCCTGGATGCAAAGCCATCGGACAGTCTGGCAGAACTAAAACGGAAGTACCAAAGACTTGCTTTATTAGTAAGTATGTTTTTGTTATTTAAGATGCGCAAAAAAATTTTATAAATCAGTAAGAGAAAAATTGAAGGTTTTGTTTTTACATTTTTTGTATAAATATGATTAATCAGACTGTGTTTATAATATCAATTTACTGAGGTGGGTTTAAGTTTGAAATAAATATCTGGAGTTTATGAGTTATCATTGTATTTTGCAAAGAGGAGTTGTGGTTCCAAAATGCTGATATGTCTCCCAGCTTTGGTAAACATTCATGAATGAACTGAGCCAAATACTTGTTCATCAGGTGCTGGGTAATCAGGTGCACAAGTCAAAAAAGGTCTATAGTATAGTATAGGTCTAGTATATAGTCATGAAATCTGCTAATTGATACTTGTGGTATTGACTATTCTGCGTGCAGTTACAGTGTGCTGAATGCAACCCTTGAATGTATAAAGACCAGATTCAAAGAGCAAAAAGTTCTTCCTGATAGTCTGCCATAATGGAATAGAAAATGTATAGGAGGAAAATATCTTAATACCAATTTTATTTGAAAGTTTCTGGTGCATTTTTGTGGAGTCATGTTTTTAGTCATGCATTAAGACTTGATGTTCTGTGAATTCTCTTCATTTTTCATGTACTCTTGGCATACATGTATAAAAATCTCGGAGTTTTACCAGATTACTTAGTATGATTCTTGGTTCTTCTGTTTTACTCCTTCCCCTGAATTCGGGCTTTTTGCTCAAAAAATACTTTAGCCTGGCTTTCTGAGGAAAATGGGGTTTATTTTTTTTGGTACTGTTGACCATTTTCAACCAAATTTGATAGATAAATAGAAGTCCCAAGATAACTAAGTTCCTAAGTTTCTTGAAAACTGGCAACCTGGTAGAGAAGAAGGAAGAAGGTGAGCAGAACTCAGTTTTTATATATTCCTTTAGGTAGCTGCTAACTAGACTGTCAGTATTGGCAGGGCATTAGAGAGCACATGCACAGCTAATCTTGCTTGGTTTGAGGTGTCCGCGTGAATGTGATGGCAAGTTGGAACTTTTAAGTGAGGTGAAGAGGAATGCCAGTAAACGGGAGACTGAGTTTTGTCATAGTTGAAATAAATTCATGGGTTGTTTTTGGGGGGCGTTTTGTTTGTTTAATTTTTGTTGGTGGGGTTTTTTTTTTTAGTTTTATTTCTAGCCCCAGTGACAAGTGTTTTAAAGGGCATTTCACAGGTATGAAATATGTTCCAGATTTACACATTTTGATATCTTCAGTTGGATATGCGAAGCAATCATGCTGTACATCTACTCCTCAGTGCTTCCTGCTAATTTATTTCTTTGTCTGAAACTGATTTGTGTACTTAAGAGTCTTAAGTTTCAACACTTTACAAGATGTGTGCATGCAGATATAGGACATAAATCCTTTGGTCCTCACTGTTAAACATTAGAAGAATCAATGTAGGAGAGTGCGTTGGAGACCAAGCTTCTTAGTTCCACTCCTAACAGAAATAGTTGTTTTCTTGGACCTCCTAATGTTTTTTGTTTTACTGAATTACTAGTAAAATGTGAATAAAATATTAATAATGATCTCTTTGTTCTTAATGAAAACAATAGGGGACTGCAGTGTAAAATACCTCTTCTTTTTAGATAGGAGGCTAATTTAAACTTACTACTGTAATGGAATTAATGTATTTCTTTCACTATGAATCTATATATAATAATGGAATCAAAATCATTTGTAAAGTATTGTTCAGAGCTGTTTGCCACAGAACTGAAACTACGTAGTGCCTTGCCTGTATGATTTTTTTTTAAATGAAACTGACCATTTGTGTTATAGCACTGTACTTTCATGTAATTATTTTGAAGTGTGTGAAGTGAGAATTGTTGGAGATTACAACTGTCTGTTGAAAGTCTATAACTGTCTGTAGTTTTAGAAGATGAAAAGATTGTTTTCATATACAAGCTTTTCTCTAGAGCCTGTGTATTTCCAAACTAAATGGTTAGTGCTCTTTATTTTAAAAGTCAGTGAGAAATGTTAGAGAACATAAAGATACTTCTTTTTTTTTGTTTTTCCTTTGCTATTAGTGATGGATCTCTCTTTCTGACTAAAAAGCCACAGTGATGTTTACTTGTAGGTGTTTTCTCCAAGGCACATCTTCTGCTTGTCTGTTGTTGTTACCGTACGTCCTGTCCCTATTCATTTTTTTTTATTTTATCTGAACTGTTAAAGACTCTACTTGTTTGTCTACTTACTAATGCAGTATCTAGCACAGTCAATCTGAAGTCTCTAAAAGCATAGTGGTAATAAAATAATTATTTTTATGCACCTTAAAAACTCATTGTCTATAGGAGTGACTGGAGGCTACACTACATACACAATATGAACACCTTTTATTGAAGGTATGTAGTTACAGTGTGAAAGTTATTGCCACAGATGTTGTTGAGTCCAGTTCCATGGTTGAAAAATTTGTAAGACTTTCATGGAAGAAAAGTCTGCCATGGCATGTTAACATAAAATGTACTCTGATTCAGACACTCATGAGCTATGGACTTCTGAATATTGGTGGAATATGTAAGGGAGGTGTTGCTGTATGTTTGTCTGATGCTGATACTCTCTCTTAGACATCCACTGTTCATTGTTAGTAAAAAGTATAGCACTGGATGGACCTCTCATCTTACCTGTTGTGTCCTATTCAGATCAAGTACCTCCCTTGCTCCCCGAGTGCAGCTTGTACATGGAGCTCTTGGTAGCTTCACACCTCTGACAAAGTGCTCATTTGGGTTTTCTAAAGCTGTTGTTGGAGATAGCGGTGGTAGAAGTCGTAGTAATATTGGTGTGGACAGAGAAGAGGTCTACGTGCAGGTGTTTTCATGTACTGTGGTAGTAGTCAATTATCAGAGTAACTCCAGTTTAGAAGATGGAATAGCAGATGAGCACAGCCGTGTATTACCTATTAAAAAATTTCATGAAAAATTATATGGTCAGTACAGAAAGTTTTCTGGCTTACGTGTAGCAGCAGAAGTTAACCTCCTGAAGAATGGTACTGTGCTAATTACCTTAAAATCCAAAAGTTCATGAAGCAGTTTGCATCTTGGATACCAGTTGCAGTTAATATGATGTTCATTCTGTAATCGTGAATGTTCTCATCGCAGATGTTCATTAGCATTGAGCATAATAGATGGTGGAATTTATTTTTAAAAATAATTCTGCTGTTAATATAAAAATGGTAAATGTCTGAGTCTAAGCCTTCTTTGAATGATCCCCAGCGCTTCATGTTGAGCATTTGCTTTTTGCCATCTGCTATTTTCTATTTGTCAACGCATGTACGCTTAGCATCTTGAATGAACAGGCAGATGTAAATTTCCAAAGCTAAGAAGAGTTGGAGATCTTGCCATATGTCATCCAAAAGACAACTATATTTGTAGTTAACTCAGGACTGACCTTAATAATACAAAGTAGCACGCAATTTAAAATGGTTGAATTGTAGGTTTGTAAGAATTATTTCAGAAGGGCAAACTAGCTTAAAGCAGATTAATTTTTAAAATATAACTTGTTTTTTGTCAATTCTAACAAATTTGTGGTGGAAAACATTAATAACCCATAACAAATAAAACTGTGCATATGCACCCTACTAGAGTGAATACATTTACTTACCATTTTGCCATATTTTGCTTTGCTGTACTTACTGTTTTTTAATTTGGTCAGGTCACATCATATGCTTAAGTGAATTCTTTTACTACAGATAATGTCAAATCTGTCTTTAAGAATAGTATTAATTTGCTACAGAAAATAGCACAGGTTTGGCGTAAAAGTAGTGATATTTTTTAAATCAGTATAGTTTTTTCTTCTCACCATCTAAGTTTCAAGTAAAAGTTCATATTTATAAAATTTCTTTGCAATGTAATGAAACTTAAATTTGTTTCTTTTAAATTCTTGTGTACTTATGTGACTGATACCTGGATCATCCTGATACTTTATTATTGTAACAATCGATAGCAGCTGAAGATGACAGAGTTTTGGGCACAAGACATGTGTGACACCGGCAATTTTATAAATAGCTTATTTTTAACAAAATCAAACTTTTGTGTATGCTGGCTCATACTCTGGTGTATTATCCAGCATCGAGCTTCAGCAAGTAATTCTAAAAGAAAAAAAAATTAGAAATATGTATTTCGTAACCAGCATAGCTCAATGCAAAGATTCCTTGATTGGCTGTTTTAAGTTCATGCTAGAGCGCTTTCTGAAGGACAGAAGACTTGCAGTTTCCATACTCTGAAAGGAATCACAACAAACTTTGAGAATTAATATGTTGTCTAAGTAGTAGGAGTTTGGTCTTTAATCTTCTGTCTTTGGAACATGCTGATGGTTTTGAGATTTGGGATACATATAGCCTTTTTACCCACAGTTACGTACACAGTAGTTTCAACAAAAAGATTTCTTAAATGGTTACACAGGTTTTATGCTCTATACTTAGTTTTTTAAGTAATCCATACAGCGTTAAGGAAGGACAGTGCTTATGTTCTGTTTCTGAATGTGTATGAAATTAACAGAGGATGAAATTAGAATAATGACAACAGGATATTGGGGAAAAAAATTACACCATCATATTATTGGCCCAATTTTTACATCTCCTTTTGGTCTAGCACTTTGTGGTCAAAGAATGAGTTGCCAGATTGTTTTCAAATTTTCATGTAGCTGTTCTATATCTGAAAACTGCTTTTTACAGGGAATAAAGTCACCAAACGCATAAGCTTTGTCTAGCTGAAAATCAGGTGTCTGTTCCTGTTGATGCTGATGATATTATAGGATACCTTTCAACTGGAAAAAAAATTATTGTGCAGGAAAATTATATGCTGCTGTTACAATGTGTGCCCTAATCTTAAAGAAAATCCGTGTAATTTGAGCAGGGAGTATGCAGGAAGCTCTTATTTTTAATATGGTAAGGAAATAAAATGTGTCATTTAACACATAGTGTTACGAAGATTATCTTTTTATCAGAAGGGGTGGTGTGTGTATAGAAATACAAACAAAGTGTT